TATTCCTATTTAAATAAATAAATAAATGAGTAAATAAGGCCTAATAACGCAAGTAAGTCAAGCAATTTATTAAAGTAAAGCAGTATGTATCAATATCTGATGATCAATATAAAGACAATTAAATATAATAGTGATGCAATATAGTAAGAAAATTAAATAAACAAGAGTGAAAAAGTATATTATTAATAAAATCAAAGAGTTTAAAAAATAGCACATACAAAAAACTTATTACCAGCAAATAGTTGAATAAATAAAATCAGAATAATATTAGCAACAAAAGACTAATAAGCAAGTCACTAAGATTAATAAGCTACAAAGAATAAGATATAATAATTATAATAATAAATAAGCTATTATCACTCACTGTAAAAGGCATAGTATACAGCGTCACAATTCAAATAAAGTGGAATAAATAAAAAAGAACATACCAGGTTTCGATTGAAACAAAGTTGTAGATATATGATATGATTAATACCAGAACTCCAATATTTCAAAGCAATTTCAGACTGAATCCAATATGTAGATATATGTCGATATATGTCCGCAGAGGGAACATAACAGATATCCAAGAGCACGAACTTCAAACCGCTCCACCGCCAAATCGGCAAAATGATATTGATGGAATAATTCGCTGAATCCGTCACAGTAGATTACATACTACATAATATTCGAAGAACGCGATCTAATTGGCAAATATTATATGAATATTGCGTATTATTTATTGTCACGTGTCAATATTCCGCACTTATATTCATTTATATTGTTACTTATATCACACAATCTATGATAAAATATTAAGTAATCAAGTAATCAAGCCGTGCACAGTCATATCGACTCTCTTCTCGACCTACTTCTCGGACAGCACATACGGTGCCACTCAAGAGAGTTAAAAGCTATATACTTACCGTATATATTTCTAGCAAAGTTCACTGAAATCTAGAATATTTCACTTCAGATTTCACATTCCGATCAATCGTTATTCACGGCCATAATAATTTCGCTTTCGTTTCCGATATTCCAACTCATGCGCATCCACCATGTCGCATTCACAATACGCATGCACAAGCTAGACTGGCTATCGAGCAAATAAATGTTGTATCCTTTTGACAGAGGCACTTTTAAAAGCAATTACAATCCAATACGTAAAATCTCTCGATCAAATGCATTTCAGAGGCAACGAATGACAACTCATTCCATTCAGTAAATCGTACAACTATGGGTCTGTTTTTTTAATTGAACTGACTGCACTAGTTCAAAGTTTATCTTTCTTCTTTTAGTGTAAGAAAGAAAGATAAACTGTGAATTAATACAACCAGGTCAGCCAAAAAGAACAAGCCTTATCTTATACGTAACGACACATCAACGTCTCGCGCATGTGCATACAACATCCGTACACTAACGTATTGAAGAATCATAAAAATTATAAAAATTATAAAACTTAAACGCCGTTCACAAAGCACTATTTATAAAGAATAGAAAGAGCTGAACAGTTAGACATCTCCAACACGACCTCATTGTCTCCGAACAAAATGTTATCAGTCAACGTACACACATGTGCAGTACGCCGCTACACTCATATCAGTGTTTATTTCTTCACTACTTTTTTATTTGAAGACGTATTGTTTTTATTTAAAATCTCAATCAAAGTATTCATATTTTCATTCATTTTTTCAATTATTCTTCAAACGTATAAAACTTGTATAGATTCTTGTATAGATTAAATGTTATTCTTAGAAACTATACAAATAGTGAATAGCACTCAATCTGTGCAAGAATAGAATTTTTACAAGTTTGAAGAATAAGTGTAATAATGAATGAGAACATAGAGAATATTTTGAACGAAATCTTAAATGAAAAAAACTATAATGCTATGATCGACATTTTCCGACGTATTCGTTTTTAAACCTAACTTAAATAAAAATAATAACTTTGCATTTGCTTGCAAATTCTGTATGAGTAAAAAAATTATCCATCAGCAAGACTTCATTAACAAATTAAAAGAAGCATATAAATTTTTAATTACATCCTAATATTTATATCATATTTTATATATCAGGAGATACGGTGGTGTCTCGGGTGTCAAGTCAACCGAGAACTACCGTGTGACTTTACGCGAGTCGGCGAGATGCGAGCATCTGAAATTATCGAATCTCAATAACGGCTAAACTAATCAAGTTCTAAGTAGGCTTGATCAATAGCTTGAGTCCGATTTGCATAATAAAAATAAAATATTACAAAGATCAAAAAATAGATGAAATTCTTTTCATGAGAAAGTTCATAATCCTTTAATACTGTAATAAATGATGAATTAATTTTCTAAAATTTGTAAACACTCTTTTTGATACGTAGATGAAGAAATTGATTTCCATTCACTTCTATGGTTAAAAGCTCAAAAAACCTTGAAACTCTTATACCAAAAATAGATAAAAGAATTTTATTTGAAGAAAACTTAGAAAAATTTCAAAAATCTACATCTAAAATGCAGATAATTTACAATAAATTTTATTAATATGTATATAAATATTATTATTATTAAATATTGTATATAAATATATAAATATATAAAATAATTATCGCGAACCGCCTAAGGTTTCATTTCGGCCATCGTCAAACCAACGCGAGCCGACAAATAAATACGATGAGAGATATCGCGAGGAAAAATACCGCGGTAATGACCAAAGGGTATCGCATGACCCTCGCTACGAACCTCGTGAGAGAATCCCTGACGCAACTACTGCATCAAAGAAAGAGATAAAGTATGACGTAATAACTAAATGGTGTCGATACTGCAAGACACGAGGGCATGAAATAGATGAATGTCGCAAAAGGGAGTATTATAATAGATCCATAATTAATCAGGGAATCGTAAGGGATCTGCTCCGAAAAACGGATGCGACGAAGACGGATCCTCAACGAATAACGCGTCCGATAAATACGATAAGCGAAGAAAAGAAAGTACAGCCAAGCACGAGCAACATAGAATTGCCCCGTTAAATCCAATTGCATTCAACCGAGCGCCAACAGCCGCCTTAACAATAGATGGTCTAATACCCAACGTGAAGTTTATGATAGATACGGGTGCTACTCCGAACCTAATAAAGAACCGAAATATTTTACCAGGAACGCCCATAGCAGGAAATGATATTATGTATCTTAGTGGAATTACACAAGGAAAAATCGCAACCTTAGGGTCGATACAATTAAACTTCCTTAGTCATAAAATTAGAATGCACTCGGTACCAGATAGTTTCCCGATAGTTCAGGAGGGAATTTTGGAAGCAGAATTTCTTAGCGATAACACTACTATTGACTTCCCTAGGAAAGTCCTATGTTGGCAAGGGGCCAAGATTCCATTCGCACAACATGATTCAATGATCGTTCCCGCTAGGTCGCGAACCACCTTCTATATTAATATTGAAAATACAGAAGTCGAGATAGGATATGTACCGAGATTAAACGTTCATAAGGATATATTCGTGGGCGAAGCCCTTGTTAAAAATTGCAACGGAAAAGCATATTTACAGATAACAAATACCGGGGAAATAGATCGGGAAATAGTAATACCCACGATTCGCATACAGGAAATCGAACTCACTAGAAGCAAACCAAA